TGTGCCGGATAAAAGGATGGTAGTAATAAAAAAGTAAAATAATAATAGTAATAAAAAGTAAGATGGCTAACTCACAGTAAGAAAGTGGCCAAAATACCTTTATTTAAAACAATATAGTTTAAAAAACCACAACACGTTTCGCCCTTAGGCTTTATCAAGTGGAGATCAGAAAGTACATCCTGTTACATACAGGTTTATATAGGCAGTGAACATATTAGAAAATGGCGCCAAAATGATGTCATAATTTTTTAATTTTTTTTTTCAAAAGTGCTAACTTTTATATGTGTAAGTGAGTACATACCTATATGTGAAACATGTGATAGTTTAAAATTAAAAACGAGGTTTTAAACTCACAATACCTTACATATTCTATTATTTAGATACAACAGTCACATGATCGGTTGCCATTTTTTTTTTTTTTCAAAAGTGCTAAACTTTATATGTATCAGTGAATACAAACCTATATTGGAGACATGTGATAGTCTAAAATTTAAATAAAAACAAGGTTTTATACTCACAATACCTTGCATATTATTATTTTTTTTTTTTTTTATTCTTTATTTTTGAACGTGCATGAGATTACAATAACTCCTGCATTGCCACAACAGCAAATGCGAGGATTTGCAGTACATTCAATGATACATGTAGGTTGACATTGAGAACTGTTAGAGACAATACTTTGCATCATTTGAGAGAACAGCACGAAATTTTATATTTAAAGTATGGTGACTAGTTAAACATAACACTTGTTTGTCTGGGCAGAGAGTGTCTTAGTGACGAGTCGTGTTAGGCAAGTTAGTAAGAACGATTAAGCCTCACAACACTGGTGGAGGAAAAACATGAGTAACCAAAGTGATGTAGTGGAGTAATATAGTGGCCTTGCATATTATTTAAATAGAACAGTCACGTATATAAGTCACATTGTATAAATATGTACTTCATGCAGAAAATAATTATAGAAGATAATAAAATATAAGAAATATATTATAAAAAATTAATTATAAAAATTATAAAAAAATTAAACAGGTCGAACTCTACATTAAGACCTTCGGGGGTAAGGGTTTTTAAAAGGAACACCCAGTGCATTTCTTTTTGTCCCAGTAATTTTTTGAGGTCACCTCCCCTCCAGGGTAATTTACATCTTTGGATCCCAGTACATTTTAAAAATTTAGGGTCTTTGTTGTGTTGAATAAAATGCTTTGAAACAGAGTGATTAGGGTAGCCTTTGATAATATTTCTACAATGTTCTGCTAACCTTATTTTTAAGCATCGTGTGGTCATACCCACATACTGGAGGCCACATGGGCACTCCAATAGGTATACAACATTCTTAGTAGTGCAACATATTAAATCTTTGATAGGGTATGTAATACCGGTTTTGTTTGAGGTGAATTGTGTTGTCTTTGATGTGCTGTTTTGGTCAGTGGATCTGCAGACAATGCATCTGTTGCATTTGAAAAAACCTTTAGAATTTGATAAAAATGATGGATTGCTTGTATTGGCTTTTTTTGTATAATTTTTAGTAAGCATTGTCTTTAGGTTTGGGGCCCCTCTAAAAATGATATGGGGTTTATCTGGGATGAGTGTCTTTAAAATTTCGTCTTGTTTTAAAATGTGCCAGTGTTTTTGAATAGTTTTTTTCACAATTTTATTCTTATTGTCAAAGTTAAAGATGATCGGCATGGATGGTGGGTCTTTATTTTTATTTGTATTATATTCTAAAAGCTCGAGTCTTTCTTTTTGTTTCACTGCTTTGAGGGATTCTTCTAGCTTTTCTTTTGGGTAATTTTTACTGATAAATTGAGCTTCTAGTGTTCTAGCTTGTTTGTCAAAATCTGTATTAAGGGAACAGTTCCTGCAAAGACGTAGGAACTGACCTTTAGGGACCCCATCTAACCATGGTTGGTAGTGGCAGCTTGATCTGTCAATGACTGTGTTGGTGCACACTTTTTTAAAAAAAGTTTGAGTGTTAATATTCCCATCCTGGTTAAAAATTTGGATGTCTAAAGAATTTATTAAATCTTTGCTGTGTTCTGATGTTAAAATGATGCCACTATTGTTGTTGTTTAGATGATTTAAAAAAAATTTAAGTGAGGTTTCAGGACCTTTCCAGATAAAAAACAAGTCGTCTATGTATCTAAAATAGGATACTAGGTTTGCTTTCCAGGGGTGATCTCCCCAGATTGCTTTAGACTCCCAATTGTCCATAAAAAGATTGGCATAACTTGGTGCAAACCTAGTACCCATAGCTGTGCCTTGTCTTTGAATGTAAAAAGTGTCTAAAAACCAAAAATAGTTATTTGTTAAAATAATTTTTATCCCTTCTAAGATAAAATTTATTTGTTTTTCTGGAATTTTATTATCCGTTTTTAATCTATTCAAAACTGCTTCACACCCTAATTCGTGGGGGATTATGGTGTACAAAGACTGGACATCACAAGTGACTAGAATAAAATCTGGATGCCAGGTAAAATTTTCTAAAAAACGTAAGAGAGACATGGAATCTTTTAAGTATGACCTCATAAGTCTGACTGATGGTTGTAGTAAAATGTCAATATACTCTGATAAGTTTGATAAAACAGAATTGATCCCGGAGACAATAAGTCTACCTGGTGGATTGGTCTCATTCTTGTGTATCTTTGGTAAAAAGTATATAACTGGAATTTTTGGATGAGGTATATTTAAATAAGCAAATTCTTTTTTGTTGAGGATATTGGAATTTAAGCCTTTGGTTAAAAATGATATAAGGGAGTTTTGGATGGTATGGGTTGGGTCTGATAGTAGCTTGTCATATACTTTGGGGTCATTAAGCTGTCTAAATGCTTCTTTGATGTACATTTCTTGTGAGAGTATAACTAGGCCGCCCCCTTTATTGGCTGGTTTGATGACTATTGTGTCATCTTTTTTAAGATCTGTGAGAGCTTTTCTTTCTTGAAAGGTTAAGTTATATTGGTTATATTTATGATATTTGTGGTTGTTTTTTTTGGAGGTATTAATTTTTTCTAAGTCTTGCTTTACCAAATTCTCAAAAACTTCTATCGGGCCAGATTTGAAACTTGATGGGTAAAAATTTGAGTTATTCTTAAGGGTGGTGTTTTTCACTGGTATCTCGTCATTAATACATGGAGGTGTGGGGGAATAGTTGGTCTGTCCCTGGTTAATAGATTGATTCTCAATTCTGCTGCTAAAAAATCTTTTTAGTGTAGCTTTCCTAACAAACTTATTTAAATCTATAAAGGCTTGGAATGGTTGATAGGGATTGGTAGGTGCAAATTTGAGGCCCTTAGTTAAAACCGATATTTGGGTAGTAGTTAAAAAATTTTGGGAAAGGTTAAAAATTCCATGAGGGTTGTCTGTATTAGTTAGTGTCTCTCTAGTCTTTCTCTTTTGAAATCTTCTGCCACTTCTCCTTCCTCTAGGCTTAGATTTCTTTTTTTTGTTCTGGGTAGGTAAGGTGTGGCAGTAAGTGGATTTGGGCCTAGTTCTAAAAAATGATCCTCAGTATCTGTGTCCAAATCTGTAGATAACACTTGGTATCTGTTAGGATGGTGTGTGGAGGGTAGGTGAGGGGGTGTGCTGGGATGGGTGTGTTTGAATGTATGTCTGAATCTTTGAGGTCTGGGTGTGAGATCAGGTCTTTGTGGGATAGTCATGAAAAGAAAGACTCGAGCTTTTAAACAAAAAGAAAGACTCGAGCTTTTAGAATATAATACGAATAAAAATAAAGACCCACCATCCATGCCGATCATCTTTAACCTTGACAATAAGAATAAAATTGTGAAAAAAACTATTCAAAAACACTGGCACATTTTAAAACAAGACGAAATTTTAAAGACACTCATCCCAGATAAACCCCATATCATTTTTAGAGGGGCCCCAAACCTAAAGACAATGCTTACTAAAAATTATACAAAAAAAGCCAATACAAGCAATCCATCATTTTTATCAAATTCTAAAGGTTTTTTCAAATGCAACAGATGCATTGTCTGCAGATCCACTGACCAAAACAGCACATCAAAGACAACACAATTCACCTCAAACAAAACCGGTATTACATACCCTATCAAAGATTTAATATGTTGCACTACTAAGAATGTTGTATACCTATTGGAGTGCCCATGTGGCCTCCAGTATGTGGGTATGACCACACGATGCTTAAAAATAAGGTTAGCAGAACATTGTAGAAATATTATCAAAGGCTACCCTAATCACTCTGTTTCAAAGCATTTTATTCAACTCAACAAAGACCCTAAATTTTTAAAATGTACTGGGATCCAAAGATGTAAATTACCCTGGAGGGGAGGTGACCTCAAAAAATTACTGGGACAAAAAGAAATGCACTGGGTGTTCCTTTTCTGTATCCGGCACAGAAGTGTTTTTACTTTCCAGTGAGGATATTACTCCCAAGAATCCAAGGTGGGGATTATACCACTCAAGCTGTATTCATTGAACAGTCAGTCTGTTCAACTAAATGTGAGTAACCACTTGGTTTTTTATCTTCTCACCTCTGGCACTTTATACTTTGAGCACCATTGTTGTTCCTGCTTTTATTTCCACATATGGTTCCCTAATCAAGAAAGAATACTAAGACCTCACGTATCCCATAAGTGGGGATTATACCACTGTACGTTATCAACACTAGAGCTAAGTCCATAGCTCTTGAAAACGTGAGTAGGACCATATACTCTTTTATTGCTTCTACCCCTTTCGGGACATACTATACCATCAGTTGTTATTTTCTCATTTCATATGATGTACAAAGACGCATCTACACCACTCTGAAGAATCCCCCACTACAAAAGACTGTATTCACCTCTACAAAGATATTTGTTTGATTCATCTACCAGTCAGACTATTTATTCTGGACTTCTATTTGCTTATTATCTATCATATATATTGCATTCTAGTCTGCCTATTCTGTGCTCTTTTAATTTATGTGGTTTATAGTGGCGCTGCCTTCCTTTCTTTTTTCTGTACCATTTCTGTTGTAAGGCCTGTGAGGGAGCCCTACTTTTTAGGTGTGCTGCCACTTTTTACTTATTTATTATTGTTTCAGTTGTATTTTGTATAGATAGAGAGCGCTGATCCCTTCCTTCTGTTCTATAATGCAAGACAATGCTAGACATAATGTGGCTGGAGTGTGTCAGCAGTTCCTGCAAGACAAAGGCATTGATGCTATTGACTGGCCTGCCCGTTCCCCAGACCTGAATCCAATTGAGCACATCATGGGACATCATATCTTGCTCCATCCACCAATGTCACGTTGCACCACAGACTGTCCAGGAGTTGGCAGATGCTTTAGTCCAGGTCTGGGAGGAGATCCCTCAGGAGACCATCCACCACCTCATCAGGAGCATGCACAGGCGTTGTAGGGAGATGATACAGGCACGTGGAGGACACACACCCTATTGAGCCTCATTTTGACTTGTTTTAAGGACATTACATCAAAGTTGGATCAGCCTGTAGTGTGTTTTTCCACTTTAATTTTTGAGTGTGACTCCAAATCCATGGGTTGAAAATTTTGATTTCCATTTTTTAATTTTTGTGTTTTGTTGTCAGCACATTCAACTATGTAAAGAACAAAGTATTTCAGAAGAATATTGAATTCATTCAGATCTAGGATGTGTTATTTTTGTGTTCCCTTTATTTTTTTGAGCAGTGTATAAAAAACACTAAAATATAAAAAATGCCAAAAACAAAGCAAAATCAATTGCTAGGAGTAATCCTACATGTTTCGTCCCAAAGGACTTCCTCAGGGACCCTCCAAAGATTTCAGCAACAAGAATAAAAATAAAAAATAGGAATATAAATAAACAAAGTGACAAATTAAACAAGAATTCACAATGTAAAAAGCAGTATTGCACACAAATAACTGCATTTGCCAATACTGTGCACAGATATACCATTGCATTCAAGTTTCCACATTACATAACTGCATTCAAATGCCAGCATATACACACATACATCACTGCATTCAAATGGAAACAGTACCTACAAACACACAACTGCATTCAAATGTCAACAATACATACACATAAACACCTTTTTATGGTTGCAAGATAGTAATAAATTACATTTATGACATTAGGTGAAGTTTTTTCTGCTTGCTTTTTTCCTTGTTTGTGCAGTATATGTATATATAAATGTTATGCATTTGTCCATCCATAACTATTCCAGGGGACAATTTGATCCCCCAGAAAAATGAGTTTGACACCCCTATATTTATAGAGTACCATTCAATGTACTGGAAGGCAGGTATGAGTTTATGCTTAAGGTGTTTGTTTTTGTTAAATACACAGTAATGTTACTTTAGAAACTTATATAAACTAGGGAACATTTTAAAAAATATATATTTCAAAGTTAACTCATCAATTTGCTATTTTGCTGATCTCTGAAGACTGCATTTTATAGCAGACAAGACCTCCCCTTAATTTAGTTTCATCTGAACATTTATGATCCCTGACTGTGATTTTAGCTCTATTCATATTAGTTGATAATATCAAGCAATCAATCAGAATGCATCCTTAAGTCCACATTTTATCATATTTCTAACTGCAGCTTTTGCTAAATGTTATTGATGTGAATAGACCCATAAGATGACTGTTATAAGATAGTTATTTAATGTAGTTTATCACAAAAGATGAGTATTTGATCTGTTGGGAATTTTGTTTCAAGATTTTTAGATTTCTCAAACGTCTCGCCATCCGAGATATACAAGATATATTTCTTGTTAAAATGTGCAATGAGATTTTTTTTGTTCATTTTTGTTTCTTCAGCATTACATATAAAGCAAATTTCTACATTTTTTTCATTTTATTTTGTATTTATTCAATTTTCATGAAAAAACAAATACAGTAGTACATGGAAAAGAAAATACAATGGTACATGGATTCACAGCGTATGACACGGTAGTATTGTGATACAATTTTGGTTTAGTTGTAGATATGACAAGCAGTAACAATTTGAATTAGCAGATCTTCTCAGGCATAGTTGCTTAGTAGATAAAGTCTATATTGAGTGACATGATCACAGAATTACACCTTTCTCTTTCTAACTTTAAGCTATTGGGGTTACCACATGTTTTATTATGCAAGTCATCAGCTGTTGGTGGCTGGATAAATATACTTAGGGACGGCATCAATATAGTTTTCGGTATACCTTTCAGGTGTGCCACATCCTAATTCATCATATTTGCCTATCTTTGATTTCTTGCCCATTGCTTACCATATCGACCGTATGTGTGAGTGGATAAGAACTGTGCTAAGGTGTGGGGGACGGGGGAGTTAAGTGTATATATAGAGGGTAGCGCAGTAAACTGGGGTTAAAAAAAAAAAAATAGTTCAAAACATTATAGCATTATCAGTAATTTGTGATGTAGCGATTACAGTGTGGCCCTGCATTACTTGCATCTGTCAGGCATTATATTAGTATCGGTCTGGTGTATGGACCTGTGGCAGCTTGTTTATTATGTCTTGTGCGTGTGTTGGCTTAGCTGTGTAATGAGTTTGTTCATTGCTGTTCCAGTTAGGGTGTGTGGTTGTCTGGCGTCTTTTGTGTGTTTCTCCCCCGGGGTCTAGTGCGAGTGCACCATAAGGTCCTGCCCCTTCTTGTGGTGGGACATCCATGGTTCCCAGATGGTGGGATATGGTGTCTTCTGTTCTGATATGGAGTAGGTAATTTTTCCCATGTGCCTAATATGTTCCACCTCAGAGTACCATTCTCCCAGGGTTGGCACCTTTTGCTGTTTCAAGTATTTAAGTATCAGTGTTTTAGCAGCTATTAGCAGATAGTATTCAAGGGATTTAGAGTACATTTTAGGTGGCTTAGGTGAGAGGTGGAAGAATGTTTCTGTGGTTTTGAGACACGAGCTATCTCGGCCCAAAGGATATATATGGTGGAGCCCCACAGGTGTTCTGTACCATCGTGTGAGTAATTTATAATTGGTTTCAGCCAACTGTATATTAAGTGTGTTCCTGTGTGCCTGTTGGAATATGGTCTTCCATTCTGATGGGGAAATTGGTTTATTTAATTCCTTGGACCAGTCTGCAGTATATTTAGGAAGGGTATCTCGGTCAGCATCTTGAATGATAGAGCATATAAATGTGAGTGGTTTCTGCAGACTTTGGATGTTCAAGCACCACTTTTCGAAGTCTGTGCCCACAGTGGGTACTGCTTGGCCTTTGATCGATGTGACAAATTGGGATAATTGGTGGTATTCAAATGTATGTAGGAAGGAAGGTTGGTTCCGTTCGCCACCAGAGTGAGGCCGTTGGTAGTTGTACCCATTCTCGTTCCAGTGACTTCCAGTGTTGTGTGCTATGGGCGTGGCACCAGTACAGTATTCTAGTGAACTGCGTCTCTAGGTTATACTTAAATGTGTCAGGTAGGCCTAGCACCCCTCTGAATTTAGGCCAGCAAATTTATACATATATAATAGACTTATAACTAATAGTTATTTCCAAGGTGTAATGTAAATGTAAATGTAGATCCTGTCTAGTGTCCAAATGTATATATCTCCGTAAAAAAAAAAAAAAAAAAATCTGTTTCAGGACACTTAAATTGAGAATTCAAGGTGAATTCAAATTGAAGTTCAAAATAGTTGATCTGAAAAGATTTTCTAAGTCAGCTATGCTTTCCATTTGACTACTCTGGCCTTACATTTGAAATTAATTTTGAATTCTCACTTTAATCAGTAACCTTGTTTAATAATCTTTAGGAACTGGCAGAAATTAAGATAATACAATGATAGAATTACAGGTGGCAATTACATCTCTCCCCCAGGGGAAAAGCCCAGGTCCTGATGGGTTAACTAGTTGTTATTATAAGCTCTTTGCTACCCTTCTCTCCCCATACTTTCTTACAGCACGTTTAGATGAAGAAAATTATATACCAACTCCAATGCTTCAAGCCTCTGTCACGGTTATTTCCAAACCAAGAAAAGATCCAACTATGTGTGCTAGTCATAGGCCCAGCTCTTTGATGAATACGTATTTAAAAGATCTTCGCTAAACTTCTTGCTCTTCTCAAGCCCTTACTGCCAGGACTAGTCCACTTTCACCAGGCAGGGTTTGTCCCGGGTAGAGAGGTAAGAAACAATATGACAAAAATATTAAAGCTCATACACAGGGTAGCCTCTATTTTTCCATAGATGCCGAAAAGGCTTTTGACAGAGTGGACTGGTCCTATCTATTTGTAATGTTAGAGGCATTGGGGCTTGGGTTGAAGTATCTAAATTGGGTTAGGACCTTATATATTGGACCATTTGCTACAGTTAGAGTAAATGGGCAAAATTCACACCTTATGGAAATAAATAACGGAACTTGTCAAGGTTGCAGGGCAATTCACGCTCCCACACATCAGGATAAGGCACAGATAAAGCAGACCTTGAAGCGGACTCTACACTGAGGCAACAAGGGGCATAGGCTGAGGACAGCGGACAACATACTCATCAGCCCACCTTCTGAAGCCCGACACCGGCCTGAGCCCTGACCACACAACTTGGACACTGATAACAGTAACTCAGACTTAGCCACAAAATAGCCAGCAACAATAACCCTCTCTGGACTGTGAGTTATGCTTGTCATATATGCTGTCGCTCACTCAGCTTGTCACACATAGACACTACACTTCAGTGCCAAACACGAGCATCACCACATGACACTAGCCTAGCACATTAACCATAACAACTGTGCATGATCTACCTGCCTAGCAATGTATGCGTGTATCCAACGTGAACTACTACTTTAACCCACGCTCAAACCAAGCTTGCTTATAGCATAATTATATACCTACAGTCGAAGCTACAATGTTTAACCTGCTATGTTATTATAAAATTGTGCCTGATAATACAATGCCCCGCATGTTAAGCGAGGGAAATGCTTGAGGAATGCCATTGGGGCACTTTGAGCCTGCATGTACCAATTCTATGCACTGCAAAAATAAAAAAATTTAAAAAATTTAAATAAAATAAAAATTGCAACTGCAGGTCAGCAAATATACCAACCCTGCAGTATTGCAATTAAAAAAAATTTAAGATCTTGAAGGTTTGATGTCCCTCGCTATCAGTCACATTCTTAGAGTCTCGTTGAATGAATTTACAGGCAACGCATCTGCCACATCCATAGGTACCTCAAGGAAGATTTTTCCAACCATGTATTTGATAGTCGTGATTTTTGGTTGGAAATGACTCGGAACTAGTATATCTCTCATGTTACAGCCTCTTCATGCTGTAATGTCAACTTGTGGGCCAAGGACCTCTTCAAGATGAGTAAGATTGGCCAGAATCTATGCATGGACTTTTTCACCTCATGCCACCCTGAGTCATACGTGGCTATCATTCTGAGTCTTGTTGTTAGTGACCTCCCTCACAGAGGGATCAACAAAAGTTCACTTCTGTCGGCCTCCAAGGCTCTCCTATTTGCCATTTTAAGGCATCTGTTAAGGTATCCTTTATCACGGAACTGCTGTCTAAGTATTTTAGCTTTGACCTTGAAGTCAGAGATATTGCTGCAATTCCTCCGTATCCTTAGATACTGTCCAACGGGTATTCCCTGTTTTAAAGGTTTTGGGTGGAAACTATCCCACTGTAGGAGAGTATTGGAGGCTGAGGGTTTCTTAAAAAGTGTAGTTTGGAGTGAACCTTCATCAGTGATGTAGATGGTCAAGTCCAAAAAATTAAGGGAGCGGCCACCAAATTCCGATGTGAATTTGAGGTTTTCACTTAGAAACAAGATCATTGAATTCTTCTAGGGTACCCTGCCACACAACTAATATGTTGTCTATATAATAACTCCAAAGATGTATCTTAGGGAGATATTGTGCCAAGGTATCTGATGTCCTAATCTGTTCTCTCACCAACTCAGGTGGAGGTTAGCCTATGAGGGGGCACAAGCTGTCGCTGTCGCTTTACCCCTCACCTGGTGGTAGAATTTGTTATGGAACCAGAAGTAGTTGTGTGACAGGATAAACCCCAGAAGTCTCAATGTAAATGTTGTATGTGTCTGATGTTCCGGAACCCCTTTGGTCTAAAAAGAATCTTACGCGTTTAATCCCTCTGTCATGCGGGATGGACGAATATAAGGATTCTACATCCAAGCTACATAGATTGGCTGTTTTTGGAATTTTAAGGTTAGAAAGAATAGTGAGTGTCTGCTTTGTGTACCTAATTTAGGAGGGAAGGTGTTCTACAAATGGTGTTCTACAAATGGATAACTGCAATGCTAACAGTGCTGTGGTGCGTAAACTAAGAGAGCCAACTGAGTCCAGGATAAGAGCGGAGATAGACCGGCAAAGAAACTTACAGACAGTATTTTCTGCTGGGTCCAGTGGCGTGCTGGTGCTGATAGGTGAACACTGAGTGTGATGGTCCGAGGTCGGACATGCAGCCTGGGGATCCCAGCAAGGCTGACTGGCGGTCTACAAGCTGGAAGAATTCACAGTTAACAAATATAACATGATAAGCCAAAATGTATATTCCTTTTTTCTTTTCACTCACAGTTTTAAATGTATTGATCACTGTTATATCTGAATTATTGTATTTTCCCTGCTGAATGTGATTGAAGTTATAAGTAAGTGAGGGAGGAAAATAGTAAGAAAAGGAAAAAATAAGAAAAAGGAATATAAAAGAGTGAAAACACAAGAGGGGAAGAACAAGATGTAAGAAAAATAAGGAAAATAAGGAAAAAAGAAGTGAGCTAATATGGCCACAAGAAAAGAACCTAGATGAACCTCAAAAAGAGAAGAAAAAAAAAAAAGGATAAAAGTCTCTCTACTTACTTCTCACCTCAATCTAAAGAATCAGCAGATAGATCTAATAGAGAATCTTTGTATAATTTAGATCTGTCATTAATGGATATGAGAAAAGAAAAAGAAGAGATTACGGTCAATGTCCTTAATGCAAGTCTACAGAATATTCTTAAAGAAATTAAGAAAGAAATATCTTTAAATTCAACAGAAATTAAGCAAGAAAATCTTATAAAATAAATTATCTCGCAGAAAAAATGAAAGATTCCAACATTTTAAAGAAACAGCCAAACAAGAAGATCTGAGGCATATAATGAATGATTATTTCAAATCTTTGGCCCTCACATTCAACAGACATGATGAGAAAATCAACAGATGCCACAGGTTAAATATACCTATCAATAGTGCACCTGAAGTTCCTAGAGGCATTATCGTCTGTTTCCACTCGTTTGTAGTCAAAAAGAAAGTTCTGAAAGCTAATAGAGAAATATCATAAAAGAAGGTCCATACTCTAATATTATAGCACTGCCTGACTTATCCTCTAGTACAAGATTTAAAAGATCGTTTGCACCTGAAATTGCCATTCTCAAAAAACTATCAAGCTGATTATCTTAATTGATGGTAAAATGGAGACATTTGAAAACCCAGATAAAGTAAAAGAATGGTTTAAAAATAATAAGCTAGATTGAAATGGTTTAATCAATGAATAAGGGGGATGAAGTCATAAATAATTGGTTAATAGATGGGTAAAAAGATTTTTTTTCTATTAGTAAATATACAACACAAAATGGTGTAGGTTACGCAAATTGTGAAATTTAGGTGTAATATTACAACATTTTCTGGTCAAATGAATGACCATCTATAACACTGAAATATTTATGAGTGTCAAAATTTTCAATTGAATCACTTATAGGGGGACATTATAATATAAAGTGTCACGTTAAATATTACTAGATTAAGAAAAACTGTTAAAATATAAGCTAGCATTCTAGAAGTTATGGATAAGATAAACTAATAATTATCACCAGATACACATTCTTCTCACTAGATATGGGTAATCAAATCCTGATGGATAATAAGGTAATAAATATTATTACAATTTTTTTTCTTATTTGTTTTTTTATTTCTTCATTTCTCACATCTGGGCAACAAACTGCAAGATTGAATTTGTAGGCAACGTATATTTGAAACCCAGGTGTAATACGTTCAACACTTATTTGGATAATATTTGATATAGTATAACACTAATAGTTAACACAATTTAATTTTAACTTTAAAATTAATTTATTAAGTTAAGTACCTTAGAGAATTACATATATAGGATATTAAAATATAAAGTGTCACGTTAGATAACACTAGATAGAAAGGGATGAAAAGGGAAGAAGTAAGAAACAGAAGGGAAGGGAAAAATAAAGGAAAAGAAAAAATTAGGTAAAGCAGGGTCAAATAATTAAAAGTTAAAGATAATGATAGATTAATAATGTTCACTATGTGTTTAAACTTCCACTAAGTGCATGGCTATTTAACATTTATGGAAACTTGGTAATATAATAAGAAATAATATAATTTTATTATATTTTTTTGTTATCACCCACCCCTTTTGTTTTGTCTTTGTCCTTGATTTGTAGTCTTAGGTTTAAAGACATTATCCATAGATATTATACTATAATGTAATCAACTCCCTGATATCTACCCCACTATATGTGGAACTTCCACATTAATTCCTAAATTGCCCTATGAGACATTTAGGAAACCATGGATTTATGTTCCATGAAAATGTATTAATTTTATAACATGACAGGAGGCTTCGTATTTTGCATAATCTTTCTTTACTAAAACTCCAGCAGCACAGGTTTAACAATAAAGTTTAGTGGAAAAAAACATTGCCACAGGGTATAACAGGCCCTTCCTCTTGCATCATTTCCTCTTTCTTTGCTGCTCCAGTCAGACAGGTCAGAGTATTTTATTCTCTGCTCATTCTTACTATCGAATTTACATTTACACTGTCAGGATTTTTATTCTCTGCTCATTCTTACTATTGAATTTAAATTTACACTGGTTTTTGATAGATTGTCTCTCCACTCTGTATTGTTGTCACCATTTATTATTCTTAAAATTTCCCCTTCTCCCCTATATCTCCGCCTGCACCTCTACCTTTGCTTGCCTCTGACTATCTCTCCCTGTCATTCATTTTGCATTCGCGGCAATTTACCGCGATCGCTCTTATCCTACCAGGGACTGGGGCATTGGTTAAGGTCAGCGGGAGAGGTAGTGCGGGAATCCGCGTTACCGCCCGGCCGGTTGCAATCGCAGCTAAATATCGAACGCGGACGGCCGGCATTAAGATTTGCGCGCAAACGACGGCCATGTTGGATATCGCGGACCGCAAGATCCAGGACGGCCAGTCACCTTCCCAGACTGTGATTCCCACGGTCTGGACTGCTCTACATTTTTCCTACAGGGCTTTCAATGCCTGTCAGGAGCTGTGATATGTATAGATGTTTTTCACACAATGTGTATTATAGGTTAGCTCATGGGCTAATACACTATCAGAACACTGTCCATGTCTTATGGCTCACAGGTTCAATCCCCACTGAGGTAGATACAATAGGAATCACCTATTTGGGTAACCAGAGAATTTATCCATGATTTTATACCTTGTGATTTATCTTTTATGAAGCAAGATTTGTATAATAGATATATTATGTAGATATGTGTAATCACATAGTAGATATACATGGTATATCACCAGGATGCCTTTTCCTCAAGGCATGGAACCCCATCATACTAGGGGATGTACCCCTCACATATTTACGTATATATATTGTCTCTCACTATTCCACTTTAACTGGACAAGCTGGGGTGACCCCCCAGGCGGTTTTTCCACATCCTGAGACTTTCAATAAAGGGGTGATTCCCCCTTACTACTGGGGTGACCCCCACTCACAATTTGGGCATTTACCAACAGTTTAATAAGCCCTTACTACTGGGGTGACTTCCCCATTCACATTTGCACATTTATCAATGGATTACTATGCGCTTATTAGTGGGGTGACCCCCCCTTACTACTGGGGTGACCCCCCCCCACTCACAGACATGAATTTACCAACGGATTACTATGCACTTTAT